GAAGAGGGGGACAGAGGATCCGAAGGAGGCTTTGGGCTGACAGCAGCGAACCCAAGCCTGATGTGGGGCTTGAATTCATGAACTAGGAGATCACGATCTGAGCTGAAGTTGGATGCTCAACCAACTGAGCTACCCAGATGCCCCTCATATGGTATTTCTATTTTCATTTTTTTGAGGAGCCTGCATACTGTTTTCCACAACACTTGCACCAATTTATTTTCCTACCAACAGTGCACACATGTTCCTTTTGCTCCATATTATCACCAACACTTGTTATTACTTCTCTTTTTGAAACTAGCCATCAATGTGAGGAACATCCTTAGTGTTTGAAATAGACTTTATATATATATATATATATATATATATATATATATATAAATTTTATTGCCTATATATATAGGCAATTATTTGCTCTCTCTGGCTGCATTTTCCTCTCTAAAAAGTATGTATGTAACTGAGTGCCTGACTTCTGGTTTTAATGGAAAGACCTTTTAATATATGAGATCAACCCAACTCTGACTCATGAGTGCCACCCCTGGAAAAATCAAATAAACTTGGAAACTTTCCATGTTTCTTCTTTGACTCTTTTTTAATGTGATGGTCTGTCTATAATCATCATAACAGACTCCTAGAAACATTCTTTTAATTTTGGTTTTCTCTTAGGAAGTTAGTCAGTTAAGTGGACTCAGTAGTTCAACCCATGTTGTTTAAGGGTCAACTGTATTTACTGTTATTTAAAATATACTTATTCATGAAAAATGTCTACACTAGCAGAAAATATATAACAGTAAAGCAATGTTTTTTTTTTTTTTTGGAAGTCTGTCATAATGTTATTATGCCATTTCAATGGTGTTATTTTGCTTTACAGGGGTAAATAAGCCTATGAAAATTTCGATATGATGAATCTTATTGGATTACCTAAATTACCTTATGATATTTTACTATATTATCATTCATATAATTGAATTCACAGGTTTATTTTTTGGAGATTAGAATTTACATTTCTATCAATAATAGAATAAAGTTAAGGAAAATGTTATGTACCCTCAATATGTTAGCAGTCATATTTTAATGTTGACTCTCCTTTCCTTCTTTTTTGTTTATTAAATTTTTAAGTTCATTTTTGAGAGAGAGGGAGAAACAGAGTGTGAGTGGGGGAGGGGCAGAGAGAGAATCTGGGGGAGGGGCACACAGAATCTGAAGCAGGCTCCAGGCTCTGAGCTGTCAGCACAGAGCCTGATGTGGGGCTTGAACTCATGAACCGTGAAATCATGACCTGAGTGACATCATGACCTGAGCCGAAGTCAGATGATTTTCTTCTTAAAATGTTATCTTCCCTTTGCTTTCATGACACCACATTTTCTCGATTTTCCTCCTATCTTTGCCTATTCCAGCAAACTTTTGTGTTGGCTTATTCTTCTACATCTGAAAACTACCTAAGTATTTCTAAAAGCCTAGTCAGAATGACTAACTATCTCCTTGGATAAAATAAAACTCTAGTTACAATGAACAGAGTTATAATTTGGGGGGGCTAAAAGTCATTCATCAGTTACCTTCTTTAAGCCTAAAGTTTTGCTTCATAAAAGGACGGCACTGAACTTTATGTTATCCTACAATAATGGCATGTTCTTACATGTAAATATGAAAACAATTAAATTAAATGCTTATGAAGACTAGCATACTAGTGCTTATGTGTGGTTCTTATATAATAAGTTCTTAAAATGTTTTTGGAAAAGTTATAGTTGTAAGTAGTCTTTGCAGTAACATTCTTGTATTCCTCACACAAAAGTGAAAAAGCAAGTCTCAAAAATTTAACTAAATTTAGGAGCAAGCCCACAAGCCTAAAGTCAGCATCAACAACATTAGACTAATTCTAATGCTTATTTATCATTAGCTTGCATTTAGCAAATGAAGTTTGTTAGCATTAAGAATTTTATCTGTAATCCCTATAAAGCAATTTTTATAATGTCTTTGCTTTTCTTTGTCCTTCGTTTTAACATAATTGCTCATCTGGGTTCAGATCAGGCAGGACCTCTCAGAAATACAAAGGCAGAATATGGGCTTTGTGGGTTTTTAATGTAGGAATACAAGATAAATTATCATGGTTTTAATACGAGGAATGAGAATTGATCATTCCCCCTTTCCTACTGAAAATATTGATATTATTTTTTTTCAAATAAGTCCATGTGTAATTCATTTAATAAATAAACCAAACTCAGTAAGGTTTTAATGGCTATAAAAACAGCTTTATTATTTTTCCTACCACTGTCTTCAAAACCTTTTATTTTTTCTCTTTCCCATTTCTTGGAAACAACTTATTCAGTTCCTTTAGCTTTCTGAATACTTTAATGTATTTCAGAAATAATTCCAGTTCTGGCAATGATGAGATAGTTTTCCTGGATTAACCCAACAACAATGATAAATTCTGTATCAAATTTAAAAACACACTAGTTGGAAGGACTGAAGATCAACCAAAAGCAGGAAGAAACTGAAGGGTATCTGACCCCTGAAAAATGGTAACTACATTAGGAGAGAACCATTTTCATATGGCTTATTCATTGAAGACCCACCTCGGTTTAGGCAATAAAGGGTAACTAGAGCACAAACAGAAAGTCAGAGCCTTATGAGCATCACATGTCAGAAGATGGAGTTTGATGTAGCCAGAGTGGCCAGAAATTAAAACAGAAATCACAGAGAGGAGAGACCCATGGAAGAATGGGCCAAAAATTTGTGAGTAAGCCTCTCTCAAGTCTTCGGCTGACTCTTAAACTGCACATGTAGGAGAATGACTTTTTAAAAAATCAGCAGAAATTAACAACCAGAAGACTAAAGGAACAAAAGATTATAATTACTGCCTATGGCAAGGATGATAGAGATTACATTTTGAGTCCCTCTAAGTCACAAGGATTTGATGAGAGCCACAGAGTTTTCGTAAAAACTCCAGAAGGCTATGCTTAGGAATAGAAGGATTGCTAAAACCAATGGATTTTCCCTAAAAACTAATATAAAAAAGACCTGACTTAACAGCATGTAAAACCAAACCTCAACAAGTTCAGGGGAAACCAATAATTGCCTAATAAAACAAAGTCAATCCTCTTCAGAGCATGCAACCTCAGAGACATAATCTCAAGTCTTAATAATGTATCAACCACAATGCTCAGTACCCAATCAAATGTGAAAAAACAAAAATGTGAAGAACTAGAAAAATGTAGTTAACAGCAAAAGCGGTCAACACAGACCTATCTGGAGGTGGAAAAGATGTTGAAATTGTAGCAGACAAGGACGTTAAAGCAGCTACTGTGAACACGATGAAGGACTTACAAGACGATCAGAATGATAAAAAGGTATGGAATCTCAGAAGAGAAATGGAAATTATTTTTTAAAACCTGAAATTCTAGAACTGAAAAATAAGCTATCTAAAACGAACTTATTACATGGACTTAGCAGAAATTGGAGACTGTAGAATAAAGAATCAGTCAACTTGAAAGCAGATCAAAACAATGTAAAAGTCACAGAGTAAAAATGTAAAAGTCAGAGAGTAAAAATATTTTAAGAAATTAAATAAGATTTCAGTGACCTAGAGACAAAATTAAGAAGTCTAACTCGAATATTTTCTGAGCCTTAAAAAGAGAGTGAAGAAAGGGAAAAGGGTAGAAAAAATAATTATAGAAATAATTGCCAACATTTATTAGATTTTGTGAAACATATCCTGGAGTTTAGTGAATCCCTAGGAGAATACATACAAAGAAAACCACATCTAGGCATATCATAGTTAAACATCAAAACATCAAAAATGAAAAAAAAAATTGTAAAAAAAAGCCACCCCACACTAAAAAAAGGAACAAAAGTACAAATGATGTCTAACTTCTCATCAGAAACAACATATGACAAAAGATTATAGGAAGACATCTTTAAAATGATGAAAATTAAGAAAAATTGTCAACTCAGAGTTTTGTATATATGAGTATCATTCAAAACTGAGGGCAATAAAGACATTTCAAGGTTAAAAAAGTTGAGAGCCACTTGGACTGAACTTCAAGACATTCCAAAGGAAGTTCTTCCGAAGTAAATGATTTCAGATAGGAGCTCAGATAAGTAGAAAGAAATAAAGAACCTTAGAAATAGTGGATAAGTAGTTAAATACCAGAAAACTTTTTTCTCTTTATATCTGTATAAGACAACTGATTGTTTAAATAAAAAAAAAAATTACATTTCACTGTGGAGTTCTGACCACAGTAGCTATTATGACCACAATAGCATAAAAGATAGGGTGGTATAAATGAAATTATATTGCTACAAGTTTATACCTTTTTAAAAATGTGAATGATATTAAACTAGATAGAATGTGGTAAGTTAAGAATGCATATCATAATCTCTATACTAACCACAAAAACAGAAATACAAAGAGATATAGTACAGAGTCAAAAGAGGAAACTAAGTCAAATACAAAAAAATATCCAATTAACCCAAGGAGGGGCAAAAACAGAAAGAACAGAGAGGAAAATTAAACATATATAAATCAACTAGTGAATAATAAACCTGAACCCAACTCTTCAAAACTTTGTCAGGAAGACAGAATAATTACAAACATGTGTGCACCTAATAACAGAGATTCAAAAAAATGAAGCAAAAACTGACAGAAGTAGAGATAAGCAAATAGAGACATTTAAGTACCTCTTTGAAAAATAAAAGAACAAGGATAAATATATCAGCAAGGATACATACAAATGTTTAGAGTGCAATTTTGGCAAAGGTGAAGCCTTGTTCTAGATACTTTTCTATTATAAGAAACACTTTAAAAATTAGCTTTATTCTGTCATCAATTTTTCTTTACACAAAGTTCAGGAAATAGTACTGGCTGAAACTTTTGCTGACGTTTGCGTTCAACATCACCACTCAATGTTTTGCCTTGCACTTATTTTACATGAAATTAGCTTCTAAAAGTTATAGTTCAATCTTTAGATAGGAGATAGATAGATAATAGATAGATAAATGCTTACCTTAAAGACCAGTTCTCCTACCAAGCCATTCCATGTCCCATCTTCTTGTGGGCTTCCATACTTGTGATCCGGTGCAACGTAAATTTCATAGTTAAAACCCAGGTAGTTAGATAAGGCATCCAAAACATCAATGGAGAAGCCCTGGTATTTCTTCGGCTTACCCAAGACATTTTCAGAGACCATTACAAAAGGTTCTTCCTACATGGAAATAAGAGAAATCCTTGATGTCAATCTATAGTGCTCCCTAAAAGCAAAAATTAATTCTTTAAAGAGTTTTGCTTAGAAACAGCTTAAAAATTGCCTTTGAACTTTGAGAGAATTAACTTAGCAATATAACTTATGTGTTATTAATGTATCACACTATTGAACAATGTTTTATCACTGAATTTCTTTTCATCTCTCATTTAATTACTACCATATAAAAATTAGATGAAAGTAACTCTAAAACTTCAGGGGCTATGAATTCATTTTTCTTGCCATCTTAAGACCAATGTAAGTTCAAGAAACTCTAAGATTATTGTATCCTGAAGCATTTATTATCTATATATGTCAAAAATATGTTAAATAATATTTTAACAGATATAATCTAATAAACTCTCTGAAAAGAACAAAAAATTCTAAGAACATATAATTTAACTAAAATTTATAACATAACATTTACTGGGAGTTTCTTGATAAGTAATTTTGAAGTACAAACACATTTCATTGCAAAAATAGCTTCTCTACTATTGCTATGAGAAATTCACCTAAGTTTTTGGTAAATTGTGTAATTTAGCAAATTTAGCAAATTGGTTTCTGCTTCTACCTCTTTTATCATTCTGTGTTTTTGTCCTCTTACATTTAACAAATAGACTCCTTTCACTTTTCAGAACACCTGGTGTTAAGAGAACTCAGTTGTTTTGAAACATGCTGGCAGACTATAGAAAATCAGATAACTTATTCCTTAATTTCCTAAACTTGTTCAAAAACCTTTTAGAACAGTAATATTTACAGATAACCATCCATATGTCTATATCTATATCTATCTCTATCTTTCTCTCTATCTCTATCTCTATCTCTATCTCTATCTCTATCTCTATCTCTATCTACCTAAATACATAGATAGATATATATCTAGCCCTCCTGGCAGATTAAAATCTACCTATCCTGGGTCTAAGCCAGAAAACCTAAAGATTTTATCCTTGGATCATCCTTCCTTAGGGACTCGCAGATGAGACTGCATTGAGATGTACAATAATACATTTACTTTGGCTTTTAGTCAAAGACACTAAGTAAGTGCTTATAGAGTCACTACATCTATTACAGAAATTTGTCCACCATAACATTCAGTTTTCCTCTAAAAATTACCATGATATTAATTTTTGGATTGTTTAGAGCCAAGAGAGCTTCATTTTGCTTCAGTAATACCCTTTTCTAAATAATTAAAATAAGGTATCTAATTCTTTTGGTATCCTATTTCACTTTGGATACCCAGAAAATAAGTTCAAAGTTCAATGCTCACCTACAACTGTGTTGATATTGCTGTATTTGCAATGTTTTTTAAATCATGTTTTCTAAATTACTGAAGTTTTCTCTTTTTAAAAAAATTTGGTCTTGGTCAACTGTTTATATCTTACCTTAGACTAAAATAAATCAGTAAGTAAGTAAAGGAGGTGACTGCTATTTGTTCTCCAGGGGCTGTTCTCTTTCTCACTAATTATGTACATGTATATGCATATGTGTGTGTGTGTGTGTGTGTGTGTGTATCCATATATTTATGTATTTATGTATTTTTATTTTTAGCACCTGAGACTAAAGACAATCCACAGTCCTTTTAGGCAAGGTGAGACCATGTGACTAATTCTGGCCAATGCAATGTAAGCAGGTACTTTGTACATTGTTCTTCCCAGCTGGAATGAACACATAATGACTAGGGCTCTGATAACTGTTTACAGCACACCCAGTAGAGAAACAAGGCAGAAGAAGTCTATGTTCTTCACGTGTGAAATGCAATACCAGACTCTAACTCTCTAGGACTCCAGAATGTGAGAAAAAAGAAATTTCAATTTTTTTTTAATTAGTAAGCTCCTGATTGTTTTTCCATTAGAGAAGTACTTGATGCTAATGAACACTGACAAATTGATAGATCAGTAGAAGAGAGGTTTTGAGAATGAATAATAATTTCTAATAATACTGATTTGTTTAATCTAAATGATATCAAATGAGAAAAAGCTAGGCAATCAATCCTTTCAAATTATATGTAAAATACAGAACATCTTGATGATCTAAATATTTCTACATTTTAAAATGTATACTAATCTTTCAGATAACTGACAGAATTTGCTACTGTCCATTCAGCTGTATGGACAAAATATAAACCTAGCCAATGACTATGCAGTGTGCAAAGAGTCTGAAGTAGGCCATGAAGTCAGGATCTGAACGAATTAAATAAATGCAAAAAAAAAAAAAAAAAAAAGGAAGATTATATTCAGAAGAATGCAGATAAGCTTAGGAAATTCTAGAATTCTAGAATTAGAATTAGTCTATATTTTAAACACCTATCCATTGACAAACAAAAGGAAAGATGGTTCGTAAAAGATCTTACTTGACTAATTCCTCTATCAATAATTTTAGACATATGTATTCTCTATTTATCCATGGACCTCACAATCCAATATATTTCTAAAGTTTAACGGCAATTTAGTTACCAGAAAGCTGAATATCCTCTTCAAGGTGATAGTTAAACAATTAAGAATATTAATGAAATATATTGTAAAACTAAATGATCTGTGTGGCACAAATATTATTCTGATGTATGCTTTGATATGAAATTTTGCTGCCTTTTTTTTCATTTTTACTCCTCTCTCTTTAGAGAAATTGTTTAAAACGCTAAATTATATTTCCTTAATATGCTAAATTTTCCTCTCAAAATTATTTTTAATTTCAATATTGAAAGCGAATCCCGAGGCAGATGGATCCTTTCAGAGTTTTATTGTCAAAATCTGATACTAGCAAAATCAGCTAGAATTGATTAAAGGTACAGAGTAAAAATGGTTTTATAAGGGCTCTTTTAAAGAAGGTTGATGAATTATTAATGGACATGCTTTTTACACTTTATGGCTGAAATAAACCTTTATTACATCCTATCACTTCTCTTCTAGATAGATGTTTTCAAGCTTTGTTTTTAAGCTCTTTTACAGATTCAGATCATTATTTATAAATCCTACCTCAGACCAGTTGTGCTTTATGAGGACAATCAGTCAATAAAGTGGACAGGTAAACATAGCAACAGAAATTAGATTGAAAGTCTAGGCTATATAATAGAAATACTGATCTTGGATATAGAAATCTAATAGAATACTGATCCTGGCTGAATTTCTTTTATCTATGCACCTATTTCCAATATTTATTCATTCGCTGACTTATCTATTTAACATGAATTGAGTGGCTATAGCATCAAGGTACTACACTCAATATAGTGAGTATAGTACTCACTGTAGTCAATATTGTAATAAGTCATGAGCACCACTTTCAAAATACTCATAACTTAATATTGGAAAAGCCACATACTCAAAACAAAAGAAAACAAAACAAAACAAAACAAAACAAAATCAACACACACCATAACTAGTACACACAAAACACCAGAGAAACACAATGGAATATATATTAAAAAAAAAAAGTCACTAAATCACCATTTTGGGAGTTAACATTTACACACTATTTTAACAGATAAGAAAAATTAGGAAAAATGTCTCAAGATCACACAGTAGGTTACAGAACAGAAATTCATCATAAATCATTTTACTTCAACTTTATATCTTTGGAGCTCAAAATTTTCAACCTACAGATTAAAATGTAGATCTCCATAATTTGTCTCACATTTTAATGCAATTTAAACTGGTGTGAGACTGGGAGAGACTCCAGATGCTTGACAGAGAAAAAAAAAAACCAAAACACAATACTCTCTAGAGGAAGTATCATTTTTGGTCTTACATTATTCCTTCAAGTAATTGCTTGAATATAATATTCAAAACAGAAGTCAAAAATATCGTGTAAAATTAAATTCTATTTCATATATAGAACTGGCAGAAATAGTATACAACAGAAATAGATCATTCAAGGACTCAGATACTGAAATTTTCAGATGCATATTGTAAAAATTATGTTACTGTGTTTAAGGAAATATAGGGCAAATTGATAGGAAATTGGAAACCATATGAAGTGTCATTACACAATTGGAAAGAACTAAAGAGAAATTTATCCAAATTTCTCTTAAAGACAATATCCAAAGAATTTAATGACTGAGTTAATCAGCAGATTAGTAACAGATAAAGAGAGAATTAGTGACCTGTAATAGCTCAGAATTAATGCCCATGGTGCAAAGGAATAAACAACTAGAAAATCCCAAAGGCAAGAGTAAAGAGATGAGAAGTAGAAAGACAGGGAGTCTGATGATCCCAAATACTGCTAAGGATACGAAGAAACAGGAGCTATCATTCACTATTGCTGGATGTTTAAATTTGTTCAACACTTTATTTTTAAATTTTTAAAGTTTATTTATTTATTTTGAGAGAGAGAAAGAAAGAACACAAGCAGGGGAGGGGCAGACAGAGAGGGGGAGAAAGAGAATCCCAAGCAGGCTCTGCACTGTCAGCACAGAGCCCAATGAGGGGCTTGAACTCACAAACTGCAAGATCATGACCTGAGCTGAAATCAAGAGTCAGCCTCTCAACTGATTGAGCCACCCAGGTGCCCTGGTTCAACACTTTAGAAAACATCTTGACATGCTTGGTAGAGAATGGAGATGTTTATAGGCAAATTACTTTTGCTTGTTTTTGAATGTTAACAGAAATATTTATTTAGCCATGAAGACATGTACAGCAATGTTCTAACAATTTCAATTCTTGGGTATGAACAGTTAGAGAATTTTGGGTACCAAAATATATACCCAAGAATGCTTATAGCAGCATTGTTTGTAATAGCCCAAATCTGGAAATAATTAAAATCCAAATGTTCATCAATATGGAAAAGATAAATATAGTTTGGTATATGGATGCAATGTAATACTAAACAGCTTAAAATTTAAGAAACACAGTAACATGAACAGACTTTTAAAAGAATAATGTTGGGTGAAAAAAACAATACTGGAAGAAAACAGTCTGATTCCATTTTTATAACATCCATAAAAAGGTAAAGTTAACTATATATTTAAGGAT